ATATATATATATATATTCCTCTCTATGCTCTCGACCGAGCATCTTTTCTTTTTTTTCAAATAACAATGACAGAACAATACATAATTACGTTTCAACTCGTTCAACTAGTCCCAGTTCCCGGCGTCCCGTTTCGCTAGGGATTGATTAAAACACGTTAAAAAATTCAGCTTCGCAATTCAAAGAATTGAGTGAAACGTTTAACTTCCAAGATTGAAACTTTTGTTGAAATTCGCTTATTCGATTATTCTTAATTTATACGTACGTATAGGTATGCATGTATATAGGATCTAAAATATATCGCGAGCTAACTTGTACGCGCGAACGAACACGAACGGGGAGGAACAGAGACAGAAAACGAGTTGCTCCGGATCCGAACGAACGGTCTTCACTATTGCATCGTTGATTCAGTTTTTAGGCGTTAAAGTGTTGTCCGCTGGTGGCTGAGTTTTTTTAGGCTATGGAGAAGTGCGGCGAGGTTAGGACAGGTATTACGAACGGGCACGAAAGGAGGAAACTCGGCATCGTCAGGATGACCGTCAACAAAGACGTCAACGGCAGTAAGAAGGACGGCGTGCGGCTTTCGGCCGAGTTACAGAGATCACCGGTGCACGCACAGTAGACTGCACGAACGTCGTGAGTGCCTGATCTTATCAGGCAATCGGCATCGTCTCTCTTGTCCGTTATGTATCCGCAACCTCTGACAACTCTGACCTTCCCGTACACTGGAAATTCATTAAAGTCACAACAGCGTTACAATGGGCTTTCCAGACAATTTTTGAACGAGACGACACCTAGGCGCCGAATAACTAACTCGCTAATGAAATTAAATAAGCACAGAGATGAACCATTTAGTTAAAAAGTTAGCGCGCTGCAGACTCGTCGGATATATATCGACGATAAAATCAATTTTCAGTCGTTCGGAAATTGTCAAAAGCATGTATATTCAGGCATACAGATGGATTATCTCCTTAATACGGTATTGAAGTTATTTTTGAAGATTTTTTAAATTTTTTCGTAATTTTTTTAATTTTTTCGTAATTTATATATATAAATTATGTTATAATTTTATATATATATATATTTATTTATGAAAAAATATGTATTAGTTAGGTATATACATATATATGTATTTTGTAATTATATATATATATATAATTTATATATATATTTTACGTCTATATATTCTACGGAGAATAAAAACTTGAGTAGAGTTCTACGCTGAGAGTACAGGTGGCACCATTTAATATTAAACATGTGCGCACATTCCCAAACTTCAGAGGAATAGAACGGTTGAGCTTGTGAGAGGATTATGTAAGCGCCGATTTGAGAAAATCACAAGTGGCCTCGTGAATATTCTTATATATTCTTTTTCTACTAGAGATCTAATAAGTTCGATTGCCGCAATGCAGTCAAATCGAACTCTATTCAGCCAATCAACTGTTTACTCTTGCCCGATAACAAATGCCTACACAATTTGAATATGAGTTGCAGTGCGATCTCCGCGCAAGAGAAGTGACAAAGAGAAGACACAAAAGAAAACAATAACAACGGAAAATATATCACAAAACGATCATAGCTGATCTACAGAATCGCAGAATTGTCGCATGAGCACAAGAAGAACGACATCGCAACGATCATTAAACGTAGCGAAATAATCGCGTCATTTGTGTGCATCGGGCTGTTATACAGTGTACGAACGTTTTCATGTACTTACAAACGCGAAGCTTCTAGGGCAATTTTACTATGCGTATAATAGATAATTACTAACATACATATATATATATATATTAAATACCTTTTTGACTGATTTTTCGACAAAGAACAGGTTCCAGGCGATTCAAATGTTCTAAACGTGGCTGAAAGCTGCAATTCACCGTTCCAAGGCTGTACGGATCGAATGGATCGCCGCACCTTGGATCGTATTCGCTGTTGCACTGATAGCATATTATTGCTTCTCCTGGAAAAATGAATTTCACGTCAAATACTGAGCAAAAATAAAACTATTCGGTATGGACAAATTACAAATTCGATGATTTATGCTGTGGGAATTTTTTATGAACAACTTATTGAAGGTTGATCAAATTTTAGAATAATTGAAAGAAATGACACAAGGAGAAATTCAAGAACGAAGAAGTTTCTTTTATAAATCGCGATAAACTGAGTTTTTGTTTCGTAACGAAACGCTAGGCTATCCTATCGATTAGAATAGGGTAGGTCAGAACTTAGAGGAACCATCCATTTTATAAGTTGTGGCTCCTTGTGCGCTACCCTTATCGCGTGCTGCAACTTACTCTAAAACTGGGCCACTAATGTGCAGGTACGTGTGTTATGATACATCCATGTAATTAATTTGTTAAAAGCTGTAGAACACAGATAAATAATGTACAACGTTGTAAATAATTGTTTAATCTAAATGGATCATCGCTTAAACTAATGAACAGCTGTAACGAATTGAAAGGAAGGCAGTCTATCGATTAGATCTTTAGGACAAAACGTTGATGAGTATTTGATATATTGATTATAAATAATAATTTGAATAATGATTATAAATTGTAAGATAATTTCATTGAACTGTCAATTGAAATTACATTTCTTTTAGGAATAATTATCCTTTTATTTGAAATTCGAAATATTCAATTTGCTGGTGATTGGCTACGGCCCTGCCGCGCTGTGACGTCACCACGCAACCCCATTCACCCTCCCAACGAGTCTGGTTACAGCACCAGCTGATATCGAACAGGAAGACCCCGACCAATGCGATGACCTACTGATACACACATAGGAAAATAGGTCTAACAATAGAAGAACAAATTTTGCAAATTTTGGCGATAGAAATGTGACTGGAGATGGTCGCATATTCATTGGTTGTAAATCTTCAAACTTATATTTTGTATTGTAAAATTGGAAACGGTAAATTGTAATTATTTGACACAGAACAGTTAAAGAAACATCTCTACTTTTTAACTATTTAAAAGATTTTTTATATACTTTTTATTTTATTAGGAGAATTTGTTAAAACAAAAAGCATTGATTATAGTTCAATGAATCAGTGAGTAATTTAATGGAAGAGTGTTTGCTTATTAATTAGAAGATGAAATTGTATAAACGAGATTTTACATTCCCTCATTGGCTTCTTTGATTAGCTGAATTTAGGCCGAGCCTAGATAGAGATGATGCGGCCAATATAGATGATGCGGCTCGGTACCCTGACCTTGAGTAAATTCTGTAGGGCATTTCACTGGTCTGCGTCGCTTTCAATGGCAAGCTTCGTATCGTTAAAACACAAAATTCCCTTACTACCGAATCACTAATACGAAGATTCTTTACAGAGGAGCGACTTTATATATAACCATCGGCATCTTCTGCGAGTATTGTCAAACACTTTTCACGGTGTATTAGCAAAAAACTCAGTGTTTCTTTTAAAATTTTGTACAGCAACTAAAAGTCATTCGAGCATGAAATTAGCATGATAGGCATGGTCGATTGCACCGTAGTCATCACAAAATGACAAAAACCTCTCGGCGGTTTGATTAAAAAAGACAAGCCAAGTTGTACCGTGGTATTGCCGAGTTAGAAAAATTCTTGCGTTACCACTGACGACACCAGTACGACGTGCGAAAACATTGATCAAAACTGTGTGTGCAGAGAAGGTTCTTCAACGACATTTGAAACCACACGAGACGTTCGATCAGCAGTAAATAGGACAGAGCAGCCGGGGTAGACGGTAGGGGTGAGTCGCGTGAGGAACCAACAAGCGCTGCGTGACATTGCAGGTCCTTATGTAATCGACAGGAACTGAAACGAAGGGATCGGCCCAGATGCCTCTCCCTCGTTGACATAAAAACATCCCTGATAAGAAAGAAAGAAGGAAGAACGCTGACTAAGACAACAGTTCTCGTCCAACTATAGAATTCATTGATTTAACGTTCAACACTTAACATTTTTTTTTTTTTTTAGCGCGGATATTTCTAAACCAACAGAATATCCCATTTTTTGCGTTTTATTAACTATTAGGATTTGTTGATTTGTCAATCGCCGGATTCACTTGAAGGAACGAACAAACTGCTCGATGATGCACAGTTTGCACGGACATGACGCGACAATGCAAATTTTATAAAACATTTGTCCATAAGCCAAGGTTAACAGGGACGTCCCCTTGGTCACGGTACCACGCGGTGCAGGGAGAATAGAATTCGAAGAAGAGTGTGAGAGAATGCAGAGGGAGGGAGGTGAGAAAGTGGGTCGCTCGATAACCCTCGCGGGGGCCAGGTTCTATGAACTAAAATTCTAAATTTCAACAAATTTCATCGACTTCAACGGGCGATTTTAGTCATTTATTCTTCGAAAGGAAGACGAAACAACCGAGCGTTCGCAACCCTCGTCCGAGTATTCTTCGAGTTTCCTTTCGATTCCGCGACGCAGTTGCAACTAGATTCGACAAAGCAGCTTTAAGTTCGACCAGTTGCGAAGTTGTTCCTTTAAAGTCACCATCGATTTGAAGCGAATTACACGCAACAATGCATCGCTTACGTCATATGAGAATTTCGTATTTTCAGCACTCGATTTGCACTTGATTTGTACTTTCATACAGACTTATTACAATTTTTCCTTTTCAATTTGTAAATATTCTATCCGCATTAAATCGTTTGTATCGAGAAGCTGTCGTTTTTAAAATGTGTTACTCTCGTGTCCGATTACAAATGTATTGTAGTAATTATTCTATATAGACGTTGTTGAATATTACGCATTAAATGAAATAGAAATTGTTGTCTCTTTCGAAAAGTCGATACATTTCTTTAAACTTTTGTAAAAGTCGCTCTCTTTAATAGAACGACCTCCAAGCTAGTCATTTCTTTTGTTCCTAGAAATATACACGGTTTACTGACTAAATCAAGACTCTTCTCGCCCTAATCTTTTTATTACTATTGTGAAATCTGGATGAGAAACGGTAGATTATCCAGAGAATAACATAACAAACATAATTATCCCCGATCATTCTCGATTTTAATAATTCTTTCTGAATCTATCTGCAATTGTGTCTTTCTTTTTTCATTTTATCACGTGATGGAATCGTATTTCCGACTTCCGGTGACCCGTTTCCTTTCCACGTGATATACTTTTCTAATGAGATTCAATTTAGAAATTAAGTACAGTCTGTACTTCCAGGCAAGCATTGGGGAAGTACCACAAGTGCTACTATTGTACGAGTTCCCTGACGAACATCTGGAACACCATAATCCTCTACAGGACAGGAATGTATCCTCTATATAGCACGCTATCTTACTTCATACTAATTGCCCTCATTTGCATTAGTTCTATGTGTCCACGACGCGTGTGACATAATCCATCGAATTATCGATCTATAACACGAAGGACGAAATTTTCGAGAAGTTCCGGCAGTTTACATAGTTACGACTGGAACATCAAGCTGATGAAGGAAGACGTGACCGAAAAGTTGCAAGGACTGCGGCCGATGAAAGCTCGATCGTGCCTTTTATGTAACACCGAAATCAATATCGCGTTTTCTTTTTTTTTTTTTTTTTTTTCGGCGTCTTTTTCTCGATTCGCCATTGATACTCGAAACGTATTGCAGAAATAACAGCGCATCGGAATTAGTATTGTGTAGTTGCTCTTCGATCACTGCATTGCGCTACAATATACGTGACTCCTTTAAAAATTCGATTTTCCTTCAATTTATAACGTAACGAGAAACGATTTTCTTTCCGTCTGATGTTTGTTTTCGCTCGTTTTCGTACGCTCGAAATAATATATATACCGGTTGTAAAACCTCTGCTTTGGAAATCGATGGAAGTAGGTAACGTGAGTTTTCAAGCATGCACGCTCGTGTGCATGCTTCAAAGGGAAAGAAGCAACGAATTACGTAAATGATTTTCTCATCTTACTACGTTATACTTTATACTTTCCTGTGATAGCTGGACAAACGTAGCACTTCGTTTTTCGCATACGAATTTCAATATATATGTCGTGTACAGATTAATCGTACGGGCGATAAAGTCGTTTGAGGGTTGAAACGAACATCGAGATGAGACCAATGATGACTGAAAGAGGCGCGAAAAATTGGACTCACCGTGATGGATAGTCGACAGCAGAACCACGAGGACGAGGGTGACGATTGGCGCGAGACGATTTGCAATCATGATCACGATCACCGGACCATGTGTTTCAGCCAGTCACGTTGTAGTCAGTCACTTCGGACGTGTTCCCTCCACCCTCGCTGCATGGAAAGCTCGCACACGGCAGGCCCGATTACAGTTGCGGTCAATTTTTATATAATTTTTTTTTTTTTATAAATTGTAAATTCACCTCGAGAACCGAAGGTGTTAGAAAGACAGAACGAATGAAGAGAATTTATACGATGGCAGTGTTCGATGGACAATTATTGCCCAAGTTAGTGTCTCTTTCTCCGTTCTCACGTCCGAAATGACTGAACGAACGTGTACGAACCTTCTGGTTTCTTGTGGTGGTGCACCGTACGTGATCGCGGACGCGTCGCGTCTGAGGGTCAGACTAGTTCCGTCGGCTATGCGGCAGATCTGCCCCCTCTGGTTTTTCCATGCGCTTTACGTCCACCCACCGTTCACCACCGTACCCCATCAACCCAGGAACCAATTTTTCTTATCAAAGTAACAGCTTTCTCTTAAAATGCGTTTAAAATTCTTCCAATATTTTCTTCCTTGTCTGAAACTTACATAGAATTTGTATTAATTAAAAATTTGTATCGTTTGTTGTCGTTTGTCCTTCAAGAAAGTATGTTGGAAGGCCGCGTAAAAATGTAATAAAATTCATCATCTATTGATCATTATTTCATAAAGAAAAGATAAGCACATGTGGCTTATTTAAAGGTGAAATTTGTCGTTCATTTTCCGTAAGAATTTTAATTTCTTATCTTCTGTATCGAATTCTGAATTATTGATTGTTTTTTGTTTTACAATGTGAGTAATTTAAAAAATAAATGTTTGTTAAATTTTAAAATTATGTAATGACAGATTCTAGTTCCGACTGCATAGTTCATCTAAAATTGGTTTTAAAGATATATTCACAACTTGATAAAGTCAATCCATGTGCTGACTACAAATTATAGAGCAGTGATAAAGACCACTTATAATCATTCATTCTTTAGTAGTATGTGGACAATATAGTCAGACACTGAGCACAGTTATCTTTATCTTTTATACTTTAACAAAAAACATATTTATAGTATAGTATCTTGCTTCTTTATAAGATATTTTTTATTAATTTTTCATAAAATTATAATTGATCCATTAAAAATCTTAATTACTTCACAATTTCAGACACATATATCTATATATATGGTAATTGTAAAACGTTAATCTCGCCATCTATCAACAATATCATGTGTTACTTTCATCAGATACATTTGTAAATTTATATTTATAAATAATAATGCGTTAAAAACTAATATGTAATGTAATTTTAATAAATATTGTTTATTTAAATTAAATAGTTTTATTTTAAACCATTTTCGGAAAAACACCACACAAATAATTATTTTTTGTAATAAAAATTTATTTAGTAAGCGTACAAAGCTTTCTCTTGATAGTGATTTTTTATTGTAAATACTCTATATATAAAATAAAACAATGATAATAATTTATAATAAGTTTGCTTATTTATTTTTATTACTTAATTACTTAATTTTCTTAGATTTAGTCGAAATAATATAAAAAAAAGCATTTTTAGGATTTCTAGAATCTCCTTATAAAAAAAAAGAAGAAATGCCTGTCAATGCTAATATATGATAACAGACAACACATTTATACAACTCCATAGAAGTATTGCTAATGAACGACACATATAATATTTAATACGATAATACAGTTTTTCGGCATTCATAAATCAATTTGAATAAAAATTCATACAACACTATGATACAGTACTCAAACAGGCACGTTTAGTATAAGTACTAGTTCTATTCCAGTCTCCTATTAATAAATCATAATTATTTATTATTAAAAACTATATTTCGATCAACACAATCTATATTTATTTATGAATATATCGTATATGAATGTATATATACATACATATGTATATGTGTGTGTGTGTATAGGTATATATATATTATATATACTCACATATATTTTCTTTCCTACTTTTCACGAAACAGAACTACAAAATTTTTTATTTAAGGCCAATTATTTTGTTCAGGAACTAGAATGCCAGATTATCAAATAATACAGCTCCAGCGTAAAACCGATAACTGTTAACATATATATATATATATATTTATATATAATTATGTCTTTCGCATATAAACAAAAGTTACTATTCTTAAAGGCATTATTTTATGGTATAACAACCGTTTGGCATATTCGTTTGTACAGTTCAATTCTCATGCTCGTCAGGATGATCTGCTTTAATATGATGCGTGAATGTATATTGCGTGGTGAACCTTTTTTTACAGTAAGGGCATTGATATGGCATCAAAGGATGTGCAGATCTTAAATGTGCAACAGCTAATTCTCGTAAAATAAATGGAGATTGACATACTCCACAGCGATACCTGTTTTATATATTACGGATATTAACATTTTATAAAATTTTTTAATTTTTTAAGTTTAAATCTTACCCGCCGGTTGTCCTGATTAAAGTTCGTTTAACAGGAGGTGGTGTACTTTCTTCATTTATTTCTATCTTCGGTTCGATAGTAGAAACCGAATACTCCAATGATGTCTCAGGAATTAATTTCGGCATAGTTTTTTCTTCTTCTGATTCCTCTTTTAAATCTTGCTTTCGTACCTATGTAAATAATAAAAAAATAAAATTTTCAAATACATCGAATACCTGAAAATCGGTAAAAATGATTTTACATCAAATATTTACCGTTGTATGTGAACTTTCCATATGTACTCTCATATGAGAATTTTTCGACTGAAAACTATTGAAAGACGCATTACATTTGGTACATTTATAACTTTTGCTATTACTCAATGAGGCAGACTTTTGCGAAGATTTTGAGGAAACTCCTTTTTTGCCGAACACAGTTTCTGTGCACTGATGAGTTAGCAAACATACTTCTTTAAAAAAAATCTTATTACACTTAGGACAGTGATATGTTTTGTCAACAATGTGCGTTTTCTGATGCATTTTATATGTATTTTTATCTACGAACGATTTGTTGCATACTGTGCATGTGTATATTGTTGCAGAGTCAGTTGGTTTATGAGATACCTATTATTAAAATAAAAACAAAGAGCATTAAAAGAAATACAGTTCAAGAATAATGAATATATACCTCGTGTCTAAATAATTGCCACTTTTCTTTAAAAGATTTTTTACATATATGGCAGGTGAAATTTTTACAAGTGTAATTATCCGAATGTGTCTGTAAATGCGTTAACATCGTAGTGTGATCACTAAACCATTGTAAACAGATACCACATCTTGCCACATTTTTAAATGCATTGGTATTTAATGGAACATTTCTTTTTGGAGATGGTTCTTCATGGTTAGGAATATCTTCCCTTTCTATCATCTGTAATTTATGGTATTATAATTATATCTTTATATTTTATATTTTCATATATTTTCAAACTTTTCAAATAATATAAATAAATAAATGTAATTAAACCTCTGAATATGTTCTAGTTTTTGATGCGCGAGTTTTGGCTTCTCTTGCTTCTTTAGCTTCTCTTTCAGCATTTAAAGCTTCTTCTTGTTCAACACTAGCCATTACAGGCGACATTGTAGGTTGTTGACTATGTTCGCTCATTCTATGGGCTGCTAGACGTATAAAAAGTCCAAATGATCGTCCACATATATCACATTTATGTCTTTTTGGTTCATGAGTGCGCATATGATTTGATAACGCACTTTGTTGAGTACAGATCTGTAGAAAAAAAGCGAGAATTTAAAAAATATAATATTAACAATATCTTTTTATAAGGTATGCATTAAATTTACTTTTCCACAAGTAGGACAAGTAAGTGATTTAGAAGCATCTACAAAGTGTTCCCTCTTCACTTCCTTTGAAGTTTCTTCACTTTTGAGAACGTTTACTGACTGTTGATTCATTAATGGTAATGCTTTTGTTGATGTATAATTACTGATTTCATGTAACTGAATATGACTTTGATAATTTTCCATACTTGGGAAAAATCTATGAAGTGAAAAAATTAAATCGAAACTGTTATGGTAAAAAAAAAAGTATTTATAAATGGAAAATATACACAACCTATTGCATAAGGAGCACCATGTATTGGTCCCAATTTCATTTATTTGAGTTAAATGATCACATAATCTATGTTTCTTCAGCATTTCCCAACTAACAAATTGTCTGTCACATTGGTCACAATCTAGAACACTTCTATCAAAATCTAACGTTACTTTTAAGTGATTAGTAGCTTCATGTTTAGCCAAGTCTTCCACTAACTCAAAGCAAGCAGAACATTTTCTGCAATTGTACTTTCTTGGACAATGTAATTGCATATGTTTCATTAAACTTTCCTTTGTCCTACAATGAAGAATTACTGCTTACAAAACTGTGCACAAAATACATTGGAACTAGCAAAAACTTACCTGTAATAACTATTGCAAGGAGTACACCACCACTTAGAGGATAGCTTTGTTTTTGAATTTAAGTCTTTCCTGTCATTCATTGTCAAACTACCCATTAGCACTTGTTCTAAAATACTCGTCCTCTTTTCTTCCTCCTTTACCTGTACTCCTTGTCTCAAGTTATTGCTTCCCTCTTTTAATAAATTTGTATTTTGTTCCATTATTATATGTAATTTATTATACAGCTCATTTTCTACATTATTTTTATGTGACGATTCGTACACATTAACATTTGTTTCTAATATTGGTTCTGTAGTCATTTCTTTGATCTCTACTTCGCATGGTAATTCAGGTAATGACTCCATGCAATTATTTTGATGCTCCTGGCTAACATCTATTGGCATTGATGGACTTTCAACTGGCAGTGAAACTGGCAAAGGTACTAAAGGTGGCGGTGCTCTAGCCTTTTCTCTCCATAGTTGAGCCTAAGGATGATGACGTTTATCCAAAAATATATATATATATATACAATTACACAACACAAAAGAAAATGTTAGATATACCTGACAAGGATCAGGGGAATTTTTCATTGCTTCTAAATAAATTTGAACAGATTCAACATTCTTATAAGCTAACAGCTTCAAGTGCATGCTCTTGTAAACGCTTAAACAATATTCTCTAAACTCATAAACATCATCCAGCCTGGCAGCACAGAACTGACATATTTGCTTTGGCAGTGGATCGGTTTTGTACACTAAGACTGGCAGGCAGGCACGTAACTTTTGTGCCACTTTACGCTGTACACCTTCATTGCCAAAGATCGGCAACATTTCGTTCTTCTCTTCCGAGCATAATCTACAAGCATTCTCCCACTTGTTAGGCACAGCCATTGTAAACAAATTTGGTAGTGTACCGTTGTCTTTCTACAACGTCCCCTTTAATCGTAATTCTTGCGGCAATGTGATTTAATGCGACGATGATCACACCGCGATACGCGTGTGTTTGTCAAACGTAGTTATGTTCACGTCGGTGTACACGATACGATCACAAGGTACGATCAACTTTGCGAATTAGGTTAGCCAACAGCCCATACCGAGCGTAGGAGTCCAGTCACGAAATTGCAATTAAACAGTGCGTGCATTTTTCCTTTAGTCACGTAACGCATGCCATCCGGACGTTTCAGAGGGTGATCCTCATTCTGAAAACTTGAGATCTTTCTTTTATCATTCTACTTTCACCTTGGGCCGTTTCGAGCCGTTCGTAGAACTTAGCCTTTCAAGTGTAACAATTCAGGAGAACCGGTTCTCGTACGTAACCGCTTATGTGCATGGATATTGCTTAATACTGTCGTCTATCATATGCACCTTCCAACTAAGTACCTCCGGTTCTTTGGCATTTCTCTTATCCCGTCCAACAACACCTTACGTAGCCTTGTGTAGTCACTCTGTTTTGATAACTGCTGTTCGAAAGACCATCCCTCGGAATTTCAGCGTTATCGCTCCACAGTATGATTCAGTTCAACTTTGATGATCATTGTATGTATTTCATCTGCATTCATCACGATCGATTGGAAAACAGTATTTTACCGAAACTGTAACGAGCGTGGTAGAATTATAAATAGAAATGGTAAATTGTTGATTTGATGAATGTGTTCGATTTTAATGGCGTGGCGAGGATCATTGATCGCTTAGCAAGAATCATAGACAGGTAATACGGAACCGCGGTCGATTCAAACTTATCGCTCTCACTTTTGGGATTTATCGTGCTTATGAAATAATAATCTACTTTGTACAATCGCCTTTATTTTTCAGAGAATCTTTATATTGGAATACATAAATTATGTTAGATAAATATGATAACAAAAAATATCTGAATTGAATTCTGAACGATTTCACGGAAAGGGTATACATCGGCCTTATGTTTAGTGATGCAAATAAGACGCAATCATACGTGAAATTTATTTAAATACTCTTCGTACACATTATTGATTTCCGTTGCTGCATTGTAAAATAATTTCAATTTCATATTTCATATTTAATTTCAATTTCATATTTAAAAATTAATTTATAATTAAACGAGCAGGTGAATTATGCAATATTTTGTTGAACATTAATTTATTGTATAAATTTACATATTTCAACATAAATATATATGAATACCATTTATATTTGTCTTTGTCAATATGTTTTACAATGTTTCACATTTTATAAGTTGATCATTGAATTCTTGATCTGTTTGTTAACAAAAATAAAGAGAGGAATTGAAAAGCAAGAAAGATAATATGTATATATTTCTTCATGAAAGTATTGCACAATTTAAAAAACTGTTTAACTAAAATTATATCTTAAAATATTTACAAAATATAATAATGTCTAACAAATCGTCCCATTGAACAGTTGAAATTGTATTTTGTATAGAAATTAATGTACACACTATCAAATATTAATTTAATTGCGTAACTATTTAAATAAAAGATTTTGTTTGAAAGAAATGCATTAAATTTTTGTAACATCTACTTCAATTTTCTTATATAATACTTGAATAAAAATAATGTTATAATAATAATGAACGTCATGAAAATTAAAGTATGGATACTTCTCCTTATACAATTAGAATGAAATGTTTTTAATAGAAAAATTATTTTTCCCATTTCATATAATAACAAATGCATATCATTTAAATTATGTATATAATTTACATTAAACGCACAATTTAAATAATTAAATTATACATGCTTCTCCAAAGAAAGTAACAAATGCCTCTGCATTATACAACGAGCATTGATTATAAAATCCTAACTTGTGTAAATACATTTTTTTCTTGTTAATTAATTCTGTAATCATTAGATCAATTAATAATGTACAGTATTTCGCATATGTTTATTCAGTTAATTTGTCTAAATGGAAGTAAAACAGTGTAAGAAGGCGGTGATGCAATAGCGATTATATAACAAATAAATATATATATATATATTTATATGTATATCTATGTATTTATATACATACATATATAATGAAAGCAAAATGGCAATTATATATAAATAAATTGTGTTTTAGAAATTGTTTAAAAACTGGCATGTTCTTGAAATTTTTGTGTTTATATATAAAAAAATAATTTTACAAGTTTTCTTGTTGGTTTCTTCTCGATTACACATGAATCAATGAATCATATGTGTGAAGATTATAATTCCATTAATAAAATAAGTTTTTACTAGATAATAAACTTTGATTTTTATTATAAACTCAGGTAATAAGTAATAATCAATGTACCAATACCAAGTCTTAAAAAAAGACATGGCAATAATATTCACACACATAATACATGCATAAACGCATTCCCTGTTTCCATTCTCTCGCTTATATATATTAAATTTTTGAATATAATAATAATAATTAATAATTTCCAATATTTGCACTTTAAAAATCATCGCAATTCACTTATAGTTGTTTGTTTTCAATTTCCAATTATGAAAAATGATAGAAACAAAGTTTATTAATGCGAAGACAGTAATATGAACCTGTAAATGAACTTAAATATGTGGACTAAATCAACTCAATGAAGTTTCATCAAGATATGCTATTCCGTATTTTTCATAAATTGACGAATTTGAAGAAGATAAGAAACTTTTTGCTTATATACATATATATTTCATTGTATCGATCACCCTCAAAAATTTCATTAATATTAGGATAGAAGAATATGTATGACAAACAAAGAATAACTTTTTTGGAAACAGTAGAAAAAATAACACTTCAATAAAATGTTATGTTACACTGTACATATTTTTCTACAGATATTGATACATATATTCAGCTAGGCACCAGCCTGGCGTATCTTTTGATAATTATTCACAACCGAATGAGGAGACAAGTTAGAAGCTTAACTAATAGAAATCAAATATTCTTTCGAATATCGCTATATAATACATGTTCTACGTTATTTAGTTCATGATATACAACGTGTAGTGATAAAACTGTATAGAATTGATTTTATGGAGTTGAAGAATTGCTCCTTTAAATAGAATCATGTTCTCTCAATTTATCATGTTTAGATCAAAATGTTCACACTAGTGCATTAAAAAAATATCAAAGAATAAAGATGCTCCTTCCATCTTTCTCCTTTAAAAAGTTGTCTCGTTACAATGCATTATATTCCTACTACCTTGCAGCTGGCATCTTTTCAAGAAAATCTTGTTCGATCACTGTCTCCAGTTGTGTAATATTCAATGGTGCCTGTGTATCACTCGATCTGCGACTCAATGTTGTAAAAAAATAATGCAGATCTTGCAATGAACGTATATTATTCGATGTTAGGAGAAGTTCACCGGATACAGCTTTCGCGGTGCTTGCCTCCTGTTTGTACTGGAATAAAATATCAAGTATAATTTCAAATTCTTTTCAAACAATTCAGTAATCTGTTGTGTTATTTATAAATAAAACGTAAGAAGCACAATATAATGTCAGATAATATATGTATATTACATGCTTTCATAGATTTCTAGTTCTCACTTTTCTTTTCACTATATTGAAATGAAGATCACTAATGAATATAAAGTTTGATATGAAGTTTATAATATTGTTCATAAAATTGTTAAAAAATAATTTAATACAATGTAATATAATGCTAAGCATAATTTAAGCACTGAATTATTGAAATGAAGAGTGATTGGCATAGTTACAAAAGTAAAATGTATATATCTATATATGATTTGCATGATACTAAAATAAGTGTTTCATCAGAATTATTGAAAGTTGACCAAAATAGTGCATGCATTCTATTTAATCAAATTATACGTTTAAAATATTAAGATAAAGATATAATAAAAAAAAAGTGAGACGATATTAATACTAACTAAAAATAAACTTTTTTAAATTAAGGTAATTTTTATTAAGATTAATTTGTATTTATGATATTTTTCTGTGTTTGATACAAGCCTAGGAAATTATAAACTATTAAATATAAAAATAAATGTACACTATTTTGTTTAGTAACAATTAAAATAAATTTTACAATTAAGAGAAATATGTGAGTGAAGTTACATACAGTGTTAATTGAGTATATTCACAGTAAAAGACTATACACGGCTTACTGTCAATCAGTTTGAAAGTGGCCATGGCAGTGACTGGACTAAGAACAATTACTTGTTTTATTTTTTATCTTATAGTAGTAATAAATGCTCGTAAATGTTATACACAATCACGTAAGTATTTTTAATATATTTAAAATAAATACCTATATCTTACAATAAATAAAAAAATGTAACAATATTTAATTGATTGAAATGATAAACTTCTTTGATTATATTTTTTTTATGATAGTATATATAATCTTTAAAGATTTTACTGTACAAAAAATCTTTAAAAAGATTTTAGTAAATTATATACATCATCATAATTTTAGAGTTACTTCTTAATTTACTTTATCCAATATATAAAGAGTCATTTTTTAAATGAAAGTTAAAAATTTTTTAATACATTATTTATTTTAAATCACTTAAATATAGGAAAATAAAAATACAATTAATGGTTCATTATAATTTCTCCGCTTTCAATAGAACTTCGTTAAAGTTAATTGACTGTAATTAATAGAAATGATACAAATCATACAGTAAGCTTACTTGAATAATATTTCTTATAACTGAAAAATAAATTAAGTTTTATATCATACTTACTAACAATGCGCTTTAATTACATTGTTTTTTATAGAATATTCGGATGATTCTGATTATAAAGATTTGCAATTTTATGAAAATATGCCAGTAAATTACATTGAAAACTTTGATAAAGATCATTTGGACATGGTTCAGGATGATTTTTACATTTTAAGTAATTTCGAAGATGCAAATATACAAAATAGAATTTATCCTCATAAAAATGATCTTCAAATTCCGTTTGAAAATAATGACGATTCTCTCAAGAAAAGATCATCTGTTGCACAATTAGAATGGTATAAACCAGACAAGGTATATCGATATACGAAACATCGTATTCCTGGATATGATTATGAAGAACTCGATTATATGATCACTAAAAACTTTCAACAATGTGACGAAAGGTCTATTTGGACCCACTGCCTCTGTCAGTTTACTTGTACCGAACCAGATATGGTAGATTGTTACACGCCATGTAATAGTGGATGCGAATGTAAAGAAGAATACGTATTTGACGAAAAAACGCAACAATGCCTGCTGCCGGAACAGTGTTTTCCAAAGGAAGATAATTTTTATATCACATAACTTGTATAACTTGAAATACAATGTTTTACTATACTTTTAACACACAACAGAATACTGAATTTATATTAATTTGAATAAAGTGACGGGAAGATTTGTACAACTGAATATAAACTGTTTTTTTAAACTTACCTTAGTGTCCATCAATTTTGCTATTCTCGTAATGTGTGGTATGAAATCAGAAACTAGATTATTGTTTTCCATGGATCCTGCTGCCGAATCTCCTACAAATGCCCATCTATACCTATAAAAAAATTTTCAATTTTATGTAAATTCCTTTACAAAAATTTCTCGTTGTAAATATTATTTGGATTTTTTACTTACATTTGAAATTGAGGAAGCCTATGTGCAGGTAAGAGTAGTGCCAAATCTAATAATTTAGCAGCAGCAAGTTGCAATTGCAACCAATGAGGATGGCCATGTGCTTGAAGGCCATTACTAGCGTTTACAGCCCAAGATGAATCCAAAGCTGAGAGTAGTTTTATATGCGAACTGTACAAAATTAAAAAATATAATGTATTTGTAAGAAAAAATTAATTTAATTAATAAAATTTTAATTTATTTTCTTTATTGGCTCTAGCATGTTGCAATCAAAAGCAGAAAAACGAAACAAACACATTTCCCATTGATTATTAATGTTGTAGCTACTATTTACCAATACTACAAAATATTCCTTGAAGAAATGTAATATTATCTTCGATGAAGATCTTATAAAAATTAAAAATATTACATTTCTTTCAATTAGAACAAATCTAAAACATACATAAATGTTCAAAAATGTACATTTCATTTCATATACGTTAATATGCCAGAAGCATTCGAAATTACCTGCCATGACGACTGATGTCCCAACACCAATCAATTTATGGAGGCATCATAAATTCCACCAAATCACGGATACCGAAACAGAGTCAAAAACAAGATGACATTAGAGGTATTATTAATGTTAGTGAGGAAAACAGTTCAATTAGGACACAATATTACATATGTTTAATGAAAGACTATATGAAATTTTCAAGATCTTTTAATTAAAAAAAAAAATTGAACATGGTATTGATAAATAATAATTGATATGTATATCTTAAATATAGTAATAAAATGTATCCCAAATAAAACATTGTTATATATATTTTTTCTTTTTTTTTTTTT